ATGTTGATGTGCGCGTAAAATTCATGACCTACAATTGCTTACGTAGCAAAGTACCGAATCATTCCGATCTTTTGCCGATCAATTATTCATGCCGGTGCTAAAAGAGAGGCATGCCTACCACTCCTCACCCAAATTAGTTTCGAGCCACGTTCAGTCTCACGCTATTGACGAACATCACGCATGAGCTTGATTTCCACATGCAGCCATGGCCGCCGAATACTTTAATGCGATCGTGCGGCCTCCCCGCTCCGTAAAGGGCTACGCCACAATCAACGTCCCCACATTCTTGGAAAGCATTATGCATGCACACAGACGGACACGGGAGTGCTAAGATAGCAACGTCAGTTATTTGCTCGGCTCTTTACTTTTTGATAATTTATTGTTTTGTTCTTATTAGGCTCTGTGCACTTAGCATAGCTAAATAGACAGCGTTATTGCGGAGAAAACCGCACATTTCCGCTATTTCGTCAATCGACATATCAAATAACCTACCTCAAAACAACTATTTTACCAAAACAAGGTTCTGTTAGCTATCTGACCTAGTACACATGCGGTCATATGAGGTCGAACAACGCGCCATCCCACGGGCACCCACTTTGTGAGCTGATGGTGACAGCGGCGAGCAGGAGCTGCAGCAGCATGAGAAGCCACATGGTCAGCACATCCGCCGGCGCGGCGCCCGTCCGATCCCGCACGCACCGGCAGCGTCGCGTCGACTGGCGCCCCCGGCCGCCGTCCAATCCTCTCACCCCTCTCTTCCCTCTCACCCCCAGCCGCGGGCGGCGTGAGAGCAGCCAACGCCAGGGGAGGGGTCGATGGGCTGTCTGCACCAGATTTGGCCACGTCTGCAGCCCAGTACAGCGTGGCTCAGGTGGTAGACGGGGCGTGGCGCGTGCAAGGTGAAGGTCGGGAGATAGAGCGCTGGTCACGAGTCGCCGCCGCGGCTGGTGAATGGCCTCCGGGCCTCCTGGCCTCCGGGCCTCCTGGCCTCCGGGCGTTCGGAGGGCCCAGAGGTGAGCAGTGCGTGGTCCCGACGCTGGGCTCTAACGGCGAGGTACCACGTTACGTACCGCTGTGTCCCTCGTTTTTCCAAATGGGAGTTCAGGGATAGCTGCTATGTAGTTGAGCTTTTGAAACAAGGACGTAATGACACATCAGTTCTTATGCTGAGTATAACTGACCACCGAGTACCAGTCGCTGGAAAAACAACAATATCAGTAATATATTAAGATAAGCTACGGATTGTACTATACCATTACATATAAGTTGAACTACATTTTGAAGCGCTGAGTGCTCTAAAACTACATCTATATGATTGCTTGATGCCGTTGTTTACCGCTGGGAGCATGGATTGTACGTTCACTGCCTGCTCGACATAAATTTTATGCCTGCAAACTGGAATGCATGGATGATGAAAATGAAAACTAGCATCTCAATGATGAAGATGGACTAAATATGTTAGCAAAAAAGATTTCGGTGAGTTATGAGTAACGCTCAGCTAATGGCTCAACAGTATCGGGCAATACCTCAAAATCATGAACGTAGCCTCACTGGGTATTTGGAACATCTCAACGTGGACATCACGTGCTCTTGTAAACGGTGTTTCACTGCATGCCATGGAAATACAACCAACTCATGAAAACCGTGGGTGTATCATCGTGAGCGAATCAGGCTTTTCATACTTTGATTTAACTTGTTATCTCGTGGATTCGTGCCATTTGTTGTGAGTTGCTTTTCGACATCTAAGTCTGAGAAATGTAAATGCTCCAAATTCATAATAGAAACATAACAGGCAATCTTTGTCGAAACACGTCTACCGACACGCACTTAAGCATACACTTACGCGTTTAACACATTTGACACGCATTTGAGGCGTATGTTTTACACCTAAGAAATTGAACGATGTGTATAAAAATGTTCAGAGCTTTCAAAAACCACATATTGTATTGAGAAACATAGGCGTCTCTTATATTGTATTGAGAAAGATAGGTGCCATAGGTAAAGAACAAAAACGAGCTCCGATTAACGGCAACCGGACGGTTACTCTGCATCAGCAAAAATCCACCGGAGGTTTGTACTGATTCCCTATCCGACCGTAAACGCGTTACCAGCTTCGGATGTGCTTCGCCAGGCACTGATACACAAGCTCATACGGATATGCTGCTACACGATTCAGCGTTGCCACCTACCGAGGTAAAATAATGCCAACACTCACATTCATAACAGTTAAGAAACACGACAGCGGCACCTGTCGCAACTAGAACACCGGAACACGACTTCGTCGGAGTCGAGCGAAACGTCAGGTAGGTATGTACATATCATCGCTCCAAACGAGGAGGCAATAGGAGCTCAACCATATATAGAAGAAGATCAAAACAGGTTTTTCGGAATAAGACACCGCATCAACGCAACAAGACGCAGTCAAAATGCAATACCGCATCAGCCTGCACGAAAAAAAAACTATGTCAACACAAAGAGATCCCACGCTTCTGTTCACCTGAGTTACGCAAAACCAGCCCGCCTACCGTGCGGACATCATCGCCCACGGTTCTGGTCTGCCCGCCACCCATGGAGCCATCTGCTGCTCGTCTTCCCCTGTGCGGTCGCTCACTTCGCCGCCACTCACACCTCCGAGTTCTCCTCGTCGCAGAGGTACTGGCCGAGCGGGAAGGGCGAGGTGGCGGCGGCGGCCGGCACGCGCCCCAACCGCGCCGGCAGCGGCGGCGGCCAGCCGGCCCAGCGCAGCCCGCTGGCCGAGCTCCACAGGGCCCGGCGCCGTCCCTGCCGAACCGGCCGATAGCTGGGACTGCGCCGAGAGCGTGGCGCAGCTCGTGGTTGACCAGGCCGGACCGAACTCGGACGAGAAGTCGGCCACGGACGGCGAACCAGGCCGGCGACCCGTCAGTGGTGCCATCTCTCGGTCAAGAGTGGGACTGACGCACGGCGAGACGGGCCGATAGTGCGTCAGCGGCGTCATCTCTCGACTGACAACAGTGCCAGGGCTCCGCCTGTTGGAGCGCGGCGATCGCGCGCCGCCACGCGGCTTCTTGTGCCAGCGTCGCCTGACGAGCAGACCCAGCACCAGCGACGAGACGAGGCTCAGCATCAGCCCGCCCAGCACCATCAGCAGGTGGCCGCTCTCCGGACTGCCCACTCCGCCGCCGGTAGCCGCTCCGGCGCCGTAGGCCAGCGAGATCACGTGCATGTTCGTGCCGCGCCCGCCGCTGCCGATGCCCTCCACTTGAACACTGCGCGCCACACGGCGGTCGTCTGGAAAAGCTTGGCCTTCTGAATCCGCCACCTGCGTGAGGGCGTGTCGCCGTTGTCTACCTCCGTTGTCGCGAGAAGAGTGGATCTCGTAAAGGCAGTGGATGAACCAGTGTTGTCCGTGTGCCACCTGTAAACGTTATGTTGAGGCTTACTGAAGGATTATCTACAGTGACTACAGTGATACAGATTGCATGCAAGGTAGCCCACGACGAGCTTATGTTATGCTATGCTATCCTAACCAAAATGCTTCGAAAAACTAGGTCGGACACGCTTTGGAAGGCGTCATAGAATATCCATAAACAAATCAAGAACATGAGACCATTACTGTTGGCATCATAACCCCTCCCACAGTTGTCGCATGAGCTTCATGAGCACTTCAGTATGCTACGATGGAGAATCGAGCTTAGACTACTGTTCAATCTGGTGGCATGTAGTACGCCTTTTATGGCGCCTTTTTCACGTTAGTACACATATGACACGTGTCTGCCTTTCTTGCAGGCCTACAGAACGATTACGAACGATTCTGCCCATGCTGAGTGATTTGAGCCGACGTCCTTACTTCGAACAGTGGAGCCGCCTCGAACGAGAAGCCATCAGCGTTCGTCCGATTACGCAGCCTAGCCGCGTCCGGCTCTTGCTGCAGCAGACGCGAGCGGAAGGGCACTGACTTGAACGAT